CTGGGTCGTGACAATGATAAGTGTAAGTGGTGAATGTCATGAAATAAATTCACTTGGGCTCATTTCCGTCATATTCGTGTCTTTCGCTGTGATTGATGGTGATCAACGAAAGTTTCCATTTACGCCAATTGTCTTAATTTAATTTGAGCCAACGAAAAGTATATCAATTTAGGCAGATTTACAACAAAGCTGAAACGAATTGCATTGGTCATAAATGAACTGATGAATTGTATGCATGTGCAATCAACTATTTGATTTGTATTGTCTTGTTCGAATTGCGAAACTTGCCTTGCCAAATGTTGTATCTTTTCTCGCCACACCGACTGACAACGAATGTCTGCGGACTGACAAGCAACATCCTTGGATCGAGGGAAATTGAACTTGTCGGGCCTCATCATCATCATCATAAAAAAGAAGCTCGAACTTTGACACAAAAGTTTTGTTGCTTTTTCTTTCCGCACTGGCTCCTGCAAATAAAAATGAACAACAGGCTGAATTTTATTCGTGTTTCCTTCGGCCCGCCTCCTCTGCATATTATTTAAATAATAAATGAGTTTTTGACAGTCGCAGTGAGAAAGTGAACTGGCTGCTTTCTTGGTTGGGGCTTATTTTCGCCTGTTTTTGGGGGTGAGCTTCTAGCTGACAAGTGAAGGAATTGCTCCTGTTCCGTTCCGTTTCGTTTATTCGCTTCAGATACTCGCTCACAACACGATGTTGCCAGAAATAAATAAATCTCTTTAATGTCCCCGCCGAAAGGTTGTGGCACTTTATCCTTTTTTCGGACAGATTCGCCAAACGAAGTTATCCGGAAAAAATGTATCACTCTCTGTTTTGATTTACTCTTACAAAACGCATAAAACGAGTACTCCTATATTAATGGTACTGAAAATACTTCATATACTATATCATGTAGCTAATTATCAATCAAGCAATCCTACCAAGGCACACTTTGGTAAAATTTTCCCGCTAAAGGTCCTGTTTTCGAAATCTGCATTTCGGCAGCACTGTGCCGGAAGCTTCTGTTTTCCTCGATGTTTTAGTGGGCAACAGTTGCTGCTTTTCGCCGCCCCTTCCCAGAATTTCCCCGCGTTTTTCCGGCTCTGCTCAATACAACACATTCGTTTTTGTTGCTGGTTTCACTGTTGACATTATTGTTGTAGTTAGACCAGTGGTTGTTGCTGCTTTTGTTAGCTTGCTCCCTTGGTAGCTGAAACATCGCGAGTCTAGTGTAATTGGTTTAGCTAGCAGCTTAACTTTTATGCTATTTGCCGCTGCTCTCGAAGGTAATGAAATTTCATGGCATTTGACTTGCCTTCTCAGTTCCGGCCAGGCTATGTCCTGGCTATAGCCACACATGGCCGGCTGGCATCCCTTGCGTATACGTAATGGTGCTTTATTTATGTTGTGACCAGCGTGGGCGAAGAGGCATATATCAACGTAATTACTGCACCTGAATCCGTATACCCAATTAATTGTTATTCCATTGAATTTCAATTTAGGGCCATTCCTCACATGGTCAGTTGGGTCAATTAGTCAAAGGCCACCAGCCACGTAGAGCTGAAAGTTGAGAGTTTACACAAAGTTGGTGCAAGCAAAAGGGGTCAAAATGCGGCTGAAGTTGCAGATGGGGGGTTGTACTATAAATGGGAACTGAGTATATATAGGAATTTAAGGAATATCAGTGTATAAGGAAAATCTATTAAGTGGATTTTTTAGAAGTTGAATATTTCCTAATTTGTTCAGATATGTTTAGATATTCAGAATATCGATTAAGATACATGGAAATGTAAGGCAATTTTTAAAAATAAATAGAAAAATAATAAAATAAAATAGAAAAATATACATATTCGACAAAAATTATAGTAAATTGGAGGGAGTATCAATATTTAAATTATAAAGACTTAAAATCATAGTATTAGCCAAACAAATTACAACTTTAACAACTCAAATTACAATAAAACATAAAAATACTACTTAGGATTATTTAGCAAATTAGCAAATGCTAAAAATGTTTTCAGTGGCACGTTGTTTTGCTGAAATCACATTTTCAATCTCTTTTCCCCACAAATGGCAACAGTATATTTATTGAAAACTCATTTACTAAGTTACCAGGAAAGTTCAACGAGAACTTTCAATGCTGCACCAACACACACGAACGGAAAATGTCATACCGCATCCGCAAAAATGCAAATTGAATTATATCTAAGCCATTGAATGGGTTGACTTTCATGTCAGAGAATGTTCTCATTCTGGATTTCTGTTGCAATTGATTTGTTTGGCAAGATACCGCTTATTTTTTTTTTTGCCAGATACGATTCGCGTAGGTTGCGATTTCATGACCTGCCAAAAATGCAAAGTTTTTCAAGGCAAAGGGAGGGCAAACAACGATTTCCATCTGCCGCATTGGCCCTTTGATTTAATACCGAGTTCTGGCAAGGACAAGTTGTGGGGAGTTCGGAACTCAAATCCCAGCCACGCCCCTTTAGGCACTTGAGCGCACAATTAGCTGTCAGTTTGAATGCGAGTGTATAGAGCAGTCTGGCTGGATCTGGCCATAGTGGCTTATCCTTTTGTTCACCAAATGGCTCTTTGTTCACCCGAAAATTTGCAGCCGAGCAGCGCACTTGTGCCTGACAATTCAATTTGGAGATGATGTACCACTCGGATCCTGGAAACTATTGCCGAAAGGGTCCTGCAGCTGGCTGCTGAATATTGATCCCCCGGATAATCGCTAAGCAGGCAAATAACATTTTTGCACTTATTCACAACCGGAAAGTAGAACAGTACTTGCCGCACAGCGGGGGCAATGATGGAAAATGTATAAGCTCAATGCGATTAGGAAGCGAGGAGGAGCTAAGCAGCTAAGGAGCTGAGGAGCTGAGGAGCTGCGCCAAGGAGCTGGGGAATCTCCATTCCCAATGCTAAGCTGGTCCACAACGCACTGACAGCTGTGGAAATTATGGAGGCACTTTGTCCTTCGCAGCTGAACAACATATAATAAAACAATTGGCACTTCCGCAACATTTCGCAATCGATTTGTTTTTCTGTTCAGTCGGCTTAAGCCAGCTCTGCTTTAATGCCGGCCACGGTCTTAACTACATTTATCCCGTTCGTAGACCAACTTTGGTGCAGCCCCTGTTCCGGCCAACAAGTTAAAGAGGCCCTGGAGGAACATTTACCACGGATCCTTTATGTGCGCCAGTACACGAAGAAAAATAGTGTTATTATTTATTCTGGTGTAATGCCCAGTGCAGCGGCCCTGTAGGCGGTTTCTTTTCCACGGAGTATTATTATCATCAACCACTGTGCAGTTCAAATATAATTAAAGGATAAAGTACACCAATATTTTTTACCGTGATGGAAAGTAGTTAATATTAAACGGCTATCATTTCTCTTAATGTGGAGTGTTGAAAAACTGTGATTAAGATTAAGATTGTAGTAATAACACGAAATCCAAGGCACAAATTAAGATAGTACTTCCACATCTTTTCGCCTCGATTAAATGTCACCCCTTTAAATAATTTATGGCTTACCTTTGTGAATAACCTAAGCTTTGAATAACGTAACCTAACTCTAGCCTGAACGTTTCGTGTTTAAAATAATTCCATATACTCCTTTTTTCATCACTTTGTTGAACTTTGCTTAAGCCACTCTTAAAATGGGATTTGCATCCTTTGCTTATGTGGCCCATTTCTCAGCGGGCAAGTTTCAAATTTGAAAGTTTTTCGCATAAATTTCAAGTAGCACTCGCCGGACAAGCAAACTGGAATGAAAGCGGAGACTCCACAGCAAACAAGCTGGCTCACAACAAAGTTGCAAGGGTTCCGGACCCCCAACTTAGAATCCCCCACTGCTCGACCAAGGTACATAAAATAAACTTCAATTTGATGGGATTTGATGTGTGGGGGCATTTAACATTTACGAATCCCGCCAATCTCCAGTTCAAACATAAATGATACATTGAATTGGAGTTGCCGCTATCCAGGGCTTGCAACTGCGGCTCCTGTGATTACTGCAACAATTTCGTAATCAGCGGCGGCCCAAAAATAGAAAACCCACCACACAGGACCCGGAGAGCCCAGTTTTCCGTGCCAAAGCGAGCGAGACAGAGACAGTGAGAGAGAGAGAGAGGAGGGTCCTTGCGCTCTGTCGGAACTTTCTGCGGGGGCGTCCTAATGTTGCAGCAACATGTTGCCAGCCGACCTGCTGTTGCTTCAGCATCATAAATATTCAAGAAAGTTAAGTTGTCATAGCTAGTTGAAGACCGATTTCCCACACCCCCGGGACGGCCCACAGCAGAGTGGGGTCTCTGCTAAAAGCCGAACGAATAAAACTTCAATTCAATATATTTCCAGCCAAGTCATGGGCCAAGGGGCAGATGGGCATGGAAATTTCTACGGCTGATGGACGTCATCTGGTATGCCCAAAAAAAAAAGGAAAAGCACACGGAAATAAAGGCTTAGGGTTGATAGTTACATTGGTACTTTCAAAGGGACTATACTTTTTATGTTCAAGTGTCGGAATCCAAATGTTTCAATCAGATGAAGTAAGACAAGTAGGTAAAAGTTAAGGGACCACGATGTGGTCTCGACTTTTAAGGTGTTGAACAAAGTGGATGTATCATAAAACCCTACATATGTACGATCGATTTCTTTTGGTTTTATCATGTAAACTCCTATGTTAGTTTCTGACAGTGTATAGAAGGGTGGTGTCCCGAAGGAGCGAGGCATTCCACACAAAGGTGAGTAATGACCCTTGAAGCTGGATTTTCTATGGACGTGCATGTGTGTGGGCACCAATTTGGCAGCCACACCCACTTCCTTATGGCTCCAGACAATTGGGATAGGGCGTTCCCGAAGGTTATTGTAATTTTGTTCCGTGAGAAGCTTTGGCAGGTGGTCGAGTTCGATTGATTTATACCCGGCTGCGTAATTATGTATGTATGTATACCATTCATCTGGGAGTCATAAGCTGCAAAGATCTAGGACAGCTGGTAGCCGGAAATCATTTTGATATGTATACAAGCCGTTTTCGATTACTTCACGTTCACATAGTTGGATTCGTCTGACAATATGTTATAGCAATACATATTAAAATTCTTCAAAATTGTAAACATTGAAATTCGAATTCAACTATGCCCGCAATCGGAATCAATGGCTTTGGCAGAATCGGCCGGATGTTCGCCCGCCAGGCTCTAGTTCGCAAGGATGTCAAGATCGTGGCCATCAACGATCCCTCGCTGGATCCCAAGTACCTGGCCTACATGCTGCGTTACGACTCCACTCATGGCCAGTTCAATCAGAAGATCTCCATTGATGGCAACAACCTCGTTGTAAATGGCAAGAAGATCCAGCTGCTTAAGGAGCCGGACCTCAAGAAGGTCAAGTGGTGCGAAATGGGCGTGCATACGGTGGTGGAGTGCTCCGGTAGGTTTACCACCCTTAAAGCCTGTCAAGCGCACCTGGATGGGGGGGCCCAAAAGGTGGTCATATCGGCTCCATCCGCCGATGCTCCGATGTTTGTGTGCGGAGTGAATCTTCATAAATACAAACCAGGCACGGCAATCATCTCGAATGCCTCGTGCACAACCAATTGCCTGGCGCCGCTGGCCAAGGTGGTGCACGATAACTTTGAAATATGTGAGGGCCTTATGACCACCGTTCATGCGGCTACAGCCACCCAAAAGATCATCGACGGACCCAGCAGCAAGCTTTGGCGGGATGGACGCAGTGGCATGAGCAACATAATTCCTGCAGCCACGGGAGCCGCTAAAGCCGTCGGAAAGGTGATTCCGGATCTAAACGGAAAGCTCACTGGTATGGCTTTCCGTGTGCCGGTACCCAATGTCTCGGTGGTGGACCTAACCTGTAGGCTCTCTAAGCCCGCCAAAATGGACGACATCAAGAAGTGCATCAAGGCGGCAGCCGAGGGTGAAATGAAGGGAATCCTCGCCTATGTGGAGGAGGAGGTGGTGTCCACCGACTTCAACGGCTCCCGTTTTGCCTCGGTCTTCGATGCCAAGGCCTGTATTGCCCTGAACGATAGCTTTGTCAAGTTGATCAGTTGGTACGATAACGAGACTGGATATTCCTGCCGTCTTCTTGACCTGGTTCTCTATGCCCAAATGGTCGACCAGTGCGAGGAAAAGGCTGCTTGTAAGGAGAAGGAAGATCCCTGCAAGAAAAAGTAGGATCCTTCCATTAAGAACAATAAATAGGAAACAATTACCAATTTTTTTTACCAGCTAACAAACTAGATTTAAATTTCTTTTAGCAATCTTTATTTACCTATAAGTAAAAGTAATGTAATCCATTGTACCACACTCGGTAAGCGCATAACTTAAATACAAATCTATAGGAGGCATGCAACGGCACTCGAATATGCCTCATTGCAATTTATTCTCATCAGGCCGAATTTTTTCTACAAATAAAAAGAAAACGAAGAATAATATAAGGCTAATGAAATGAGTGACTGTTTTAGACATTGCTAGAGTTCCGCTGGAACTGCATTGATGATATACTCTTAATCTCGTTGTCCTCCATGACACCTCCATCACTGCTCTGATGGTGGTCCGCCTCTACGATAATGTCATCTAGTGTGGGTGTCTTAATTCTATTGCGTATGATGAGATCTCTGTCGGAGGGTGCTTGAAGGTGGAGAGGATTTGTGGCTAGCTCGGCAGGACCATCGCCACCACCACCGCCGCCCTGCAGACCCAAGGTCAAATTAACCTTGGCGTGCTGTCCAGTCGTTAGTTCGCTGCTGGGTTGTACATTTTCTAATGTCGTGGGAGGACGCAGGCGCGCAGGATCCAGCAGGGAATGCATTTTCGTCTGTTTCCTGGGCGTTCGTGCAGGCGATGCCTTACGAGAATTGTAGTTTTTCAGCTGTTTGGAGCTGAAAATTAAAAGAAAAGTTAATTGTCATTGAAAAGTTGAACAAATAGTCTAGTCTAGTTGACATACGCCTCCATCAACTTAAGCAGCAAATGGTGATACGCCTCGTACTCATCCTTTCCGAACTCATTGGGATCGTGCCGAGCATGCTCATACATATCGCAGTACTGGTGAATCATCCGCTGCCCGGCTCCGTTAAGCGTAACCGATAAAGTGGTCAGCAGGAAAGCCCTCAAGCTCTCAGGAGCATGCCGAGAGCTACCGTCCGCTCGGGCTATCTCAGACTCCAGCAGTTTCACGTCATCAACTGCCTTCATGCGGTAGTAGTAGGGTGGCAATGGTGCCTCCTGCTCCGGCTGAACTATGTACTTGTCGTCTTCGTCCCACAGCAGCTTCGGTTCCTGCGTGATTTTCTGGATGCAGTCCAGGCGCCGCTCAATCTCTCTCCTTAGCGCCTTCTTGGCATCATTGCCTACTGGAACGTGAGGGCCTCGACGTCCCCGCAACTGGAATCGCATAATCTGCCGCTTGGCAAAGATGAAAAGCATCAGGCAAGTTAGGACACCTCCGCTGATTATGATGATTATCATCACGCCCGAAAGCTGTTCCATGTTGCCGCTCGCCTTGCTGGCCTTCTCCTGGAGACTCGGTGCCGCGTAGTCGCCTACCTTGTGCAGGCGCAGATGCCCATCCATGGCGAATACTCTTTTCTTCGAGGATATGAAATAATAAACAATTTTCTCAGATAATTTCTTTGTTGTTTTGGTCAGCCACCCAAAACAGCTGACTTTGAGTGTGACCACTTAGCGTTTTAAAATACTAGAAATACCTAATTATTCCATGTAATACCAAGTTTCAAAAGCGAAGCGCCAATTTTAAACATATAATTTTGTAATGGTTAGGAAACTACAAACTTATGTAACAGTAAGGTACGACAAGCGTTTATATTTTCTAAAATCGTCAACAATTTTTATTTTTCATTTTTTGTATGTGATAGAAATTTAAATGGGAAACCAATACTTTTGAGCGCCTCAACATTACCAATTCAATTTTGAGAACTTGGACGATTATTTACAAACTAATAAAGAAATCCATGCGGATGAACAGTCTCTTTGGCAACCATCTACTTTTGGGCCTTCTACTACAATAATTTATCGAGCTCACGTCCACGGGTAATTGTTGCTGAATAACACCGTGCCCACCAAACTATAAGTAGCACACCATATAAAGAGAGCTCCTGCCTTTGAACGCAGCTTGAGTTGGGCCAGTGTCTTGGGCATGTGATCAGCGGCAAACCAGTAGAAAACAGGTGTGGCCGAGGCCAAGAGGCGGGTGGACACTTGGATGTGTACGTAAACAGTGCAGACGAGGGTTAGAAGCGCAGCGTGCAGCACGAAAGGGAATGTGGTGTGGTCCCTTATCAGCTCCTTGTATCCAGATGGCGTTAGTCTTGACCAGACCGCTTTGATCAAGTGCTGCATGTAATCGTAGCAGTGCCAGTGCATAAAACTCAGCATGGGCAGGGCCAGCAAGAAGTTGGGTAGCTGTTTCCACTGGTAATAGCGTAGGAAGCCCACATCCCAGTAGTGCGATTGCACGTAAGAGTAGGGGAACGGAAACGTGTACTGGCACCAGGGAGATCCTTCAGAGCCCTGACCAGACAATAGGTACTTCCGCTCCTCTGCGTAGTTCACAACGTGCTGCGGATGGTTCGTAATTGTGGAGGGCAGACAGTAGAGCCTGTATATGTAGAAATAGTAGGTGTGCAGTAACCCAATTGGTCCCAGAATTGTGAGCGTCATTTGTGCCAGCTGCAAGCAGGAGTTGGACTCCTTGATCTTGAGTAGCAGGTGGCGTGCGAAGAAGTAGAGTGGGTATCCCAAGGTGAGTAATCCATTTGAACGGCACACCAAACAGGATGCTAAAGCGCATCCCAAACGCACGTATCGGAAACTACCCGTCGGCTTCATGCACTCCAACATCACGTAAAAGCTGTAGTAGGCGAAGAAGGTCTCTGAGTAGGCGGCGGTGAAGAAAATGTTTGCCGGATTAAAGCAGTATATCAAAGCCGCATTCCAGCTCTTGTTTAGGTCGTTGAACAATACTTGGGTCAGCTGAAACAGTAGATTTGCCGACTCGCAGAAGAGCCAGAGGTTCAGAACGACAGCCACCAACAGCAGGATAGATTCCTGAGATAAGGAGATCCCGAATGCTTCCAGGGCCTGTGCCACATGACGCACAACAACCGGATACAGTGGATAGAAGGCCAACGTGTTCTCGTAGCTGTACAGATTCCCAGCTATATGCAGAAAGTATTCTCCATCCCAGTGCCTTAATCCGCCCAAGCAGCGTTTAATCATCTTGTCTATCCAGGACTTCTCCTCCTCCAAGACCGGCATCCGGAATACATCCGGTCTGTGCTCTGGCAAGACTCCGTGGGCGGCCAATTGTACCAGAAGGATAATGACTCGACTAGCCAGTGCCAGTTTAGTCACCTTTTCCGTCATTTCCGATTTCTAGGGCTTGGGTGGAGTCAATATCATTCGGCGGGCATGTGATTCATAATAAATCGAGAGCATACCTTTCAGCTAAAACGGTGTGGACGGATATTCTGGTCTGGACACTTCTGCGGCGGGAAAAAGGAGGTTCAGCACTTCGGTTGCTTCCTAAACGTCCCTCTCTTTTGGCGACATTTATTTTGTGGACCGGTTTTATTATTATATATTATTTTTTGGCAGAAGCCCGGAAAAGCAGAGCATGGTGTGACCAGAGGTTTCGTAGAAGCAGGAGACAATGTCGATACCATATCGATACAAAAAAATGTATCATATAAATAAATGAATATGTACATTTCATTTGATTTGATTCGAAATATTTTGCTGTAAGATACAGCTTAATAAGTATATTTAGGGAAATTTCAAAAGGCGTTCAGCAGTTCACCCACATACCTAATTCCAATCGATACTATCGAACTAACATCGTTGATTGTTCCAGCTCTAATCGATATGGCACATTTTAGTGGCGGCATTTCCTAAAAACACTGCCGCTTTTGTTTTGCAGTTTCGTTGAATTTAAGCTGAAATTTCACCCATAAATGAAGTGTCGGAATGCCTAATAGTGCAAAGAAGTCGGACTCCACAAGGAGCACTAGCTCGACTCCGCGGAGACCGCGGAAGCGCAAACGAGTGGAACGCCAAAGCCTGGACTCGCAGGTCGATGAAGATGCCAAGGAGATCGATCGCCGGCTGCGGAAAGTGGCCAAGAAGAACTCCATCAGCGCCGAGGACATGCAAAAAGTGGTCCGAAAGGTGGTGCGCAACGATCATGTCCTAGCATTAGTGACTTTAAAGGCGGAGGACGAGCTGGCGCGGGAGAAGTTGGAGTCGGCGGAGCAGCAAAAGCGGGGTGCCATCATCATTACGGACACTCCGTCTGTGCCCAAGCTCACGCGAGCCAAAGCACGGGAACTGAACTGCACTCCTGGGATTTCGCTGTCCCAGCTCAACGAAACTCCCACTGACAATAATGGCATAGAGGCTCTAATACGGGAGGATTTGCACTCTGATGAGGAGGACGAGGAGTACACGTTCAAGGAGGAGGACTTTCATGTGGGTTTAACATTAAATCACCTTGATCGATGCCATATAATTGTTTAATCCACAGTCCGATGATGATCCCAACACCACAGCATCGGATTTCGACTCCAATCCCTGCACGCCTCAAACTCCGCTCACTGCCAATGAGGAATCGCCTATAAAATTCTCTGACGACGGTTGTTTTAAAGTGCCGTTCGACAAAAATGCGCAGGATAAAGAGGACCTTAGGATTGCAACCAGAACGCGCTCCAAATTTTGTTTGCAGCAGACTACCATTGAGGATTTGCAATCGGAATTTGTCCCGCCGGACGTTGAGCCTAGCGATGTGGTGGAGAACGAAATGACCGCCAACGATGCGGATTGGATGCAGTTCCTCAATGACTTTACAAAACCTTTAAGTAGGTAGTATCGATGGATGTTTGTTATGGTTTCCTAACTTGAATATCTTACAGACAACACGGTCCAGGGCGACGATGATGATCCCATTAACGATCCGGAATATGTGGCCGCTGATCATTTAGAGTCAGAATATGAGAACGCCGAGGAGCTCCGCGATGTGAATATATCCAAAAAAGAGTTAACTGACCTGGTCTCTGAGCTGTTTGCTGGTTTGATACAAGAGGGAGTATCTCTGGAATCTATTGAATTGGAAACACCTCAAAAATTCATTGATAGTTCTAACGTTTCGATGATTCCCATTGATCAAGTGTCCCGAAACATCGACTTTGATTGCCAGCAGATAAATGCTAATCAGCAGGATCTGCATGTTTTTCAACCAAATCTAATGGCACCCCCTTGCCAAGGCAACGATATTGGCATGGTAATGCCTATCCCTGTGGCTATGCTACAGGAGGAAAACGTGAATAGTGTTGCCGATGGATCGCCTTGCAATGTGGTAAACATTCCTTCTGATGCCTTAACTGTTCCCCCCGAACTAATAGCAGTTCCAATACCTGGACAACCTAATTGCTTCCAAATCGCTAAAGTTGTAGCCAATGATTCAACTGTTGGTCTTCCATTGACTGAAGAGTCACCCCAGAATTTTTCTAGCGTGCATCCGATGCAACCCCCCATTGTAGCTGCCAGTAATGCAGATCGTTATAAGAAACCATTTGATACGAACTTCACCTGGGAATACATCTCGGTAAGGAAACATATTTATTCGGAGTATGAGGATAAGTTTGAGAACCTACGAAACGTAGAGCCAGCGAATTTCAATCACCTCGCCAGGAGCAGGGGATTAACCCAGTCTCAGCATGATATGCTTCAGCAGCAGCTTCGCATTCACACGCAGTTGCTCAGTCAAAGCTACCTGCAAACCTACTCCCATCCTACGTTGTATTCCATGGCCCAGAAGCCCAGGGAAATGTTGGAAGACTTGCACAAAAAGGCAACTAAAGATCCTAGTTTTAATTGCTGGAATCTGCAGGAGGCTGTGCAACTGGTTAGAAAGTGGGAACATGATCTATGCAGTGATGAGTTTAAGGAGGAGAACGAGAAGATGATGGACTTCATCAATAAGGAAACGGATTTGACGTAAGTTAATTGTAGTTTCGACAATATATACAGCTACATAACTTATTTTAATATTTATAGTGATGGCCACACGCGTCAGGTTCCTAGGCTAGCGCCTCGTATTATGGATCTCATGCTTGATAGCCGGGTGTTTATGTATCCTCAGTACCTACCCCGGATGGCTTTTCGACCCAAACTGACTCAAACCAGTGCTTACGCACCCTCCGAGTATCAGCTTATTGCCATTGGCCTGGAGAAGCACTTGGCATTAATGGGAAAAGCAAGAAGACAACTACGCAAAGGTGCAGATCCCATTCGCGTTGCCTGTAAGCGAATGACTAAGGATACGATTTGTGGAAAGACTGCGCGGCGAATCTTCATGAAAATCTCCGAGCTTCGCGACTCAAAACAGTATAATCCAGTGAAGTATTTCCTTGAACGTCATCGAGCACCGCCCGCAAACGACATCCTTTGGGGTTTCGAGGGTGGGCTGGTGAGAACTCCCCGAGAACGCCACATGGAGCTTCCCAGTGGCTGGCAATACTACATTGAGGTAAGGAATACAATGGATTACTATCGGGTACATTGGTTAACATTTAATATGCATCAAAATGGGGGAAATCTCAAAGGGTATTCAGAAAAGGTTTAGGGAAACTAGCTTAGTTGGTGACCCACACGATCTCTGGGAATGAGCCGCAACTCGGATCCGTGCTTTAGGAACACATTGCCAGCAGTCTGCTGTGGGCTGATGCCAATTCCATCGTCCGTGATGATGGCACTCGTCTCCGCCGGAACCTTGAACTCCTCAGAGGCGAATTTCAGCACAGCCGTAAAGGGAGTTCCTTCCGGAACACTGAGCACCTTAAAGGGCAGCTTGGGGTCCGAAGTTAACGTGATTTTGAAGGTTACTTTGCTCATTGTGGAATGTGCAGACGTGGTCAGTTTTGATTTTCTGTGGGAATAAACGGGTTTCCGATGTTTTCCACGTGCAGAATCTTTGAGCCCTGGTGCGGATAGTTTAAACAATTATAAATTAGTTGGTTTGAAAACTGTTTTTAGGGGTATTTGATTTAAAAACAAAAATATGTCGCTCTTACTTTTAGTGCGGTCAAAATTACGATAGGCAGGCAGCAAGTTATCGGCTGTGATGTGTATAATTTGCATATATGTACCTTTGCCTGCACCTAATAAGTACACATAATTACAACTATATTGTTTGTTATATTAAGTTGTAAATAACTTACAATATAGTTTTCTACCAATTGACATGCAATGTTAAAAAAAGGTTTTATTAACTCAATCACTGCGTATCGGCGGATCAGGTACCTTCCATCGGAGTTATCGATAACAATATACATAGCTTGTGCCATCGCTGTTTTATAAATTGCGGACAATTTTCAATCTAATATTTTGCAGAAAACTTGGGAGCAAAAGCGCACCCGCCGCAACTTTAAATTATCGAAAGCATCGTCGGTAGCCAGTGCTTCGTATTTGGAGTTTGTACGCGAGGCGGTCGGCGAGGATCTGCTGCTGCCGGAGAGTTTTGGTCAGGCGGCCGTCCCCAATGGCAGTGCTGCTGGTTCGGAACCGCCCAAGGATAGCAGACCGAAGAAAAGGCCAGCGCAGAGGAAGTCCCGCCCAGCGGAAAATGCCCCACAGCTCACCATCAATGTGAACTATGTTTTTGGCGGGAATACGAGCGCGGGAAACATACCCGGAGTATCTGGGGTCTCGGTGCCCTTGGTGTCCGGCGGGAATCTGGCCGAGAATGTACTGAACATAAATCGCAGCTTATACACCGCCGCCGAGTGCGGTAGTCTACTGGCCTTGCCGCCAGCTCCTCCGCCATTGGATGAAAATGCTCCGCCAGCCATCAATTTCAAAGTAGACGAGTTCACTCACACACTGCAGATCTGCGAATTGGGGGACTCCAGCGAGGCCGTACAGCAGGATCTGTTGCCTGCGCAGGATACACCTTCCGTCGCAGGCAGAAACGCCAAAAGGGCGCGTTATCAAATCTTTAAGCCAAAGGTTCAATCCGCCAACAAATCGCGAAGGGGATCAACACCATCCCGCAGTCGATACCATAAATTGCGCGAACGTTTGCGCCAAAAACTAAGCAAGCGCTGCCATTCCCTAATCACCAGCTACGAATCCTACCTGCGTCGTCGCAGCGAGCAATATAAAGACTGCGAGTTGGTACAGGTCGTGCACAATCGTTTTTTCGCCCTCGAACTGTACACTCAACTGCTGGTCGATCTAAGAATGTTTTGCAGCAATACCACTGCTAAAACGGCAACGCAGCCCAAGAGATCCAGGAGTGATGATGAGGCAGCGAAGCTGAGAAAAGCCAATCGACAGGAGGAGATGCTTCGCCACATGCTCCAGCCGGATTCTTTAGAAGAGCGCAATCGCAAAGATGCCAGTGAGTTTTAGATAACTTCCATTAAATGACTTGAATAATTTATTTATTTTGCATGTTCAGTTTTTGCCCTAAATTTTTATGAAAAGGTAGAGGAGGCCTTGCTGAGTGCCAATCGCCTAGATGATTGCAAAAAATTTAACAGTCTTTTGCAAAACTTCGACCCCAGGCAGGAGAAAGTATCATCTTTGTATCTGGTATGTATCACTTAAGTGGATCTTGATCTTATTGTATTCTAAAACTGCTGGGTTTTTCTTAGAAAGTGGAAGAAATTTTGCTACCCAATCATCCCGAACTAGCTGAAGTATTCCTCAACTTTTTGTTACCTGCCGAGGCCGCTGAGATGGGAAAATTCTTTGAGCACTTTATGATATGCAATGCTACAAACTTTATCAACAAACTAAACATTTACTTTAGTAAGCAGCCAGCTCAAATCAGAAAGATTTATGCCTGCCTTAGCGAGTTGGCGGAAATGCCTAATGTCAGCATGAAAAAAGTTGAGAATAAAATAATACCCTTGCTCAAGGGCAATCAATTTCTGATCGATTGGTTTGTACAACAGTTCCCTCAGGGCAAACCCCCAAAAAGGTGAGAATAGTGAATAAAGTACTCGGTATTGTTTTAGTGTAACATTTATTTCTTATTTCCAGAATCCTTTCTCCTGTAGAGACCATAAATCTGCATGATGTGCGGAACAATACTACGGGAGAATACACGGAAACGATTCAAGAGTTTACAGATGTACCTACACCAAGTAAACCGGGATGTCACTTAAAGTATATTAATGGTCGCATATTTTATGGGGCCAAGATCCTATTGCCTGCCAAACTGTCTTTTATGGCTGCTAGTATTTACAATGAACAATCTCATGACGTGTCACCAGTCTCCAGTGATTCGCCAAACTGCGCCCATGGTATTCGTGCCCAGGGAGAAAAGCTTCTTAGCATGGCTGCCAATACAGATAGCGACGATGGTGCGGATCGGAGTGAGGAAGATGATGCCAGCCGTGCTTTGATTATTGATACCACGGGTGATGAGCAGAACAGCTGTTCATCTATTGAGATGTGCGATGAGGCAGGCTTAAGAGCGCATGCAATCAGATTGAACGCTAGTTTGTATACCAACTCAAGCTTTACTAATGCAGCAACCAGTACACCTAATGTGGGCAACTCAAATGGACCCCATCATCCGCACGCTAAAAAAACCGCCATCAACTTTGGTGAAATATCCCCTCGCAAGCAATCAGCATTTAACAACTCGGGATTGAGTCCCTTATCGGCAAATACCAATAGTTCTCCCCACGTCGACAAACGAAAGTCACCTACTAAGAAGATCCGATCTCCTCTTAATCAAACGCAGAGTAGACAACGTGCCAATAATCACCCAATGGTCGTTATCCATGAGTCTCAGCCATCATCTTCGCCAGCCATTGAGTGTGCAAAGCGCTTGCGCACGCTGATCGATCAGGAGAGTGTCCGGGATGCAGCGGATACAAAAGCGGGCATTCGAATTATTGCGCAGGCCAAGCAGCAAACTCCAACACCCACGAACCAATGCACCACTGAAGAATTTACGAAAATTGAGGTTGAGAGCCTGGAGGAAAGTACCGAGAATATGGCTTTCTGTACAAACCTCAAAATGGATATGGATCAATCGGAGGAGGAGCTGGAGCCACTGCAATTAAGTGCTGGCAACACACCACAGCACGTGATCACAACACAATTTGACAGCGACGAGGACTGCAAGCTGGATGTTGTGGCCACGCTGGCGAACTGCACCACCACCGAAGGTCGAACAGATGAAGCATCTGCATTAACTGCCAGCACATCGCGCTCTGAGTCTGGTAGCACCCACTCGGCTCCTTGGACTCGTGAAGAGGACAAAGTAATCCTTATCGAAATGAAAATAGGGGCGCGGGATCGAGAGCAGCTAATCCGACGTATGCGTGCCAAGCTTAAGAATCGCAGTATAGAAGAACTACGTAGTAGGCATCAGTTTCTTATGGATTTTCTATCCAAATTGCAGGGAAAGTGAGGTTAATCTAGTATGTTCGCGAATGTATTATATTCCAAGCTGAAATAGGATACTAATGTTAACTGTATATAAACGAAATGGTTTATGTCATTACTTACAAGGAACAATTATTGAAGGCAATTCTTTCTTGTACGTATTACCTGGTTTAACATGCATAATTTCTCTTCAGAATGTATAGTTTTATTACAAATTTGAATATTCTTTTAAATGTACTTTAGGTTGACAATGACTATTATTAAGTATACTGAAATCAGGAATTCAATATGTTGGTACACTATTAGATGATAAAATGTTTAAATTGCGTTATTCTATGATATAGTTTTGATCAACGAGAACACGCTGTTTCCAATTTCCTTGAAGACTGTGAATATAAAACTATTAAATGTTTTAAAAATCCCTAAAAAGTGCCTGATATTATCACTCAACCTTGTTCAAGAACTTCAAACGTATTCGCATTTGAAAATATAAACAAACCTGGAATTATTCCTACTTTGAGAAGTACAACGTAAGACTGAATTATGCATATTCCGGAGCTCTCGCTGGATGAACCGCATTTCGCATCCTTCTTTTGCATCCTGGGCGCCGTGTGCGCCATTGTCTTTTCAACGTTGGGAGCCGCTTACGGAACCGCAAAGGCTTCTGTGGGAATCTGTTCGATGTCAATCAAGCATCCGCGGCTGATCATGAAGGCGATTGTTCCAGTGGTAATGGCTGGCATTATAGCCATTTATGGACTGGTGATTGCGGTCCTGCTTGCTGGAACACTTGGCAAGCGCTATAGCGCCTACAAGGGTTTCCTAAACCTCAGTGCTGGACTGGCGGTGGGTGTCTCTGGGATGGGGGCTGGAATTGCAATTGGCGTGGTGGGTGAGGCTGGAGTCCGTGCATCTGCCCAGCAGCCAAAACTCTTCGTGGCCATCATTCTAATATTGATATTTGCCGAGGTGTTGGGTCTGTATGGTCTCATAGTGGCCATTTACTTGTTTTCCAAGTAGTGTGAGTTGGAAAACAAATTGTTATCCCTAACTTTTCTGTTATTAAAGAAGAACTGGTTTTAAGCAGTCTGTTCTGCCTGTTAATGGTTAATCATTTGTCAAACTTCAAACTATTTGTTCAGCTGAACGACCCTTTTTTGGAGTCAGCTGCATTCTCTTCCAGCAGGCTAGTTAGAATTTGGAATTCACAGAGTGAACGTCACGCTGAAGATGCACCTCCATTACGTTGTTGGATTCTTCTTAGTCGGCTGTATGGTTCTGGCCCAACCTCAGAGCCAGCAGAACGCCACACGCAACACAACTAATATCAATGGGAATAATACTGGAAGACACATAATGGTGCGGAAGTTGCACGCTGATGAGAAGCAGGGCAAAGGAATGGTGCACATAGTGATACACAAGATTGAACCCGGACATACCTACTACAAGGTGTTTAATGGCGATGAGGAGGCAGCGCGAGGATTCACCAATAAGATATGGAATCGTTTGTTTAATCGCTACAGCACAATGCGCATATAAATTAGTAGTCTTAATTCTATTAATTAATACGTTTGGGAATAAGTTAGCTTAAGTGATAATTATAAAGCTAGAACTGAATATGGAATCCTCGTCGGGAGCGGAGTCTTTTGAGTGCAGGCAGGCGCTGGATCTGGTGCAAAAAACTTCCGGCTCGTGGTGGCCATGATTCTCTTGCTCATCCTGCTCGGAATCCTTCATGGTGAAGATACCAACTGCCGTTTTGCAATGGGCATTGAGCCTGCAGTGGGAGTCACTGGCCCAACTCTCGCAGCCGCAGGGCAATGCCTCATCTGGTGGCAGATGCTGTGGACTCACACTGCTGACCACCCGCTCCGCCGCGTTAGCCTTCTGCTTTCTCTTGTCCTGGCAGCGCGTCCACGTCCTGCGCAGAGCCCGGAAACAACACAATCCGAAGCACACATCAGAGGTTCCCTTGAGGCACAGGAAAAACTCCGGCATAAACGATGGATTGATCACGGCATAGACAACTATGTTCAGGGACAGCTGCAGCGCATTCAATGTTATGCAGATCACCTCCAGCTGCTCAATGAAGGAGTCATCCACCTTGTTGGTATCACCACCAAATAGTAGATTTAGGGAGCTCTTTCTGGACGTCATGTGGGCGGGAAGTTCGCCAAAGAGGTACAATGTAATCACAATCACTATGCTGATGGTCAACTTCATTTGGTGCTGCAAAGAGATCCCTTATTGTTTATGCGAATAAAAGTAAATACGACACATTATATACAAAAGGTATAAAATATGAAACACTTTCAGTCTGTTGAAAGGTCAATGCATGGAACACGTACTCATATTCACTGAAATACCTTATATCGCTTGGCAGTGGTGCGGCTATTAGCAGCGGGGTTGTTGGCCTGGCATATACGACTTTGTTTTGTCCATTTCCGGAAGGCTATAATTATGGCCCCGTTGCCGATGAGCAGGAAAATGGCTGGCAAAAGGGCCAACAAGGCAAAGGTGAACCAGTTTTGCACTTTATAAAAACTGCGGCAAAAAGAAACTCCATGAAAACTCCACTATGCCCACCTACTTCCATTCCAGTTAGACTCACCTTGTGTAGTAGAAATCTGTGACATGACAAGTGCCCGAGTCACTCACGTAGAAGACGAAGAAGTACGGCATATTGACCAATATGGATATGCACAATGCCACAACGATGATACAGCGAGCCACCTTTCGGCGACAAAACCGAGGAGCCCCGTTGTTCCTTTTAAAACTGGACAGATAGATGAATCGATCCAGGCTCAGGCACGCTAGGATCAGGTTCGCTCCGCCAGTACTGATGCCAAAGAGTGGGGTTTGCCACTGGTAGTCGTAGGTTATCCAAGTGGGGCTGCTGTAGAAATAGCTCCTGGACAGCGCAGTCATTGTGATGAGCAGGCACGAGATGCAGTCCATCCAGGACAGGGCCGCCAAGTAGCTGAAGGCCGATGGCGTCATCTTGGGGCGCATGAAGACGACGGCGTTGATGAAGTTCGTGCACAGTCCAAAGGCCGACAAGGTGGGAACGGCCAGTCCGTAGAGCACAAAGAGCGTCAGCGTGGGCTTCCGCCTCTGGAAGATGCATTCATCGCTGTGCTCTATTCCGTGCTCCTGGCCGATTATCCAGCTGGATTCTGAGCTGGTGAAATTTTCGGCGTACATGACAGATTGGATGATTCGATGACTGGCCATGTTGTTCACTGACTGAGTGACTGACTGACTGGGTGAAGAGGAGGATTTGGCAGCGACTGCTGGACACGTCTATCTAATTGTTGCAAATTCACGATAAGATTATCTAGCGCTAACGGACGCATAAATGTTAATTTGTACGCAATCAATGATAACGCCGCGCCGCCACGCAAACCCACCTCAACATCGACCTCTGTCTAGGCCGATTCCCCTCTCCTGGTATCTTATATATGGCCCGATATCCTGATGTTTTTGTTGCATACCTAGCTGAGCTGCGTGAATTTACGATCTACTGGTTGGGATATAAATCGAATTCTGGATACCCATACCTGGATTGCTGTTAAAAGTATAGTTGCGAATTGGCGATTTGTTGAGAAACGAATTATTAAGAGCTCCTCAAATGATCAGCGAATTACCAACCCAGATAAACATTTTCAATTTACGAGATTCAGATGCATTTAGTAGTACTTTTATTTACTTTCGGGTACTCGTACTGTATGTGTGTGGTGTGCCCAAAGCAGTTTGTTAGATTTATTTGGCTTGGCTCAATAAATTATAGATTACATCCAGCCTGGGACTGTGTATATATAGTGGATACATATATGCACAGGCATATATGTAGTTCTGACTGACTGATCGGGGCTGGGTGGGTGAATTATTCAGACGTAAAAATAGTTTTCATTAGTTTAGTTTGGGTTTCGGTCGAGAGTTTTGTCTGGAAGTTTTCGCTCTCTCGCGCGTGTCATCTTATGGTATTATATCATTTAAGTAATTCACATCGATATTTCATAGATATAATTATATTAATGTATATGTGTATATAACTATTTAGTTTGTACTAAGTTAATATGCAATTCAAATACATACGTATGAGACTTAGGTTTAAAAAACGACCGTGAAAATGATCAAAATTACATAAATATGTTTTGTAAAAATGTCGACTCTAAATAAAACTGTATGCAGTTAAAGTCCTACAAATATGCTTTTCAATATGTATATAGTTCGATAATAAAAATTAATAGTCATTAAATTGTAATATTTTCAATATTTGAACAGACTTGAAAAGTGTTTTCGCTTCCTTCATTTATTTGCCATGAAAGTCATTAAAGTAATTCAGACACACATATACATCTATAGATATATGCTAATTATGCATTACAATTAGTTTTTAAAATACGAGCAAATTTCTTTTTCCCCGCGTTGAACGTTAAGTGTACTCATCGTGGCTGCGAATCATACTCATTCATCGTGCTTGGGATCGAGTATATCTTTGATCTACCTGTTGGCTTAGATTACATTTTGATTTCAAACTGGATAGTTAAATTAAACGTTTTAAATGCTTCAAGTTCGGAGTTACACAATTCAATATATTTAAGTTAATAAATATTAATTCTTATTACGTCTCGAATTCACTAGTTTAAACTACTGTTAAGCTTTACCGATTCTGGTTAAATGTTAATTCTCATTTAAGTTACTGTGTTGTGCCCTACGCAATTAGCTTGGCTACAAATTCCCCTTCAACAGACACCGATCATTTTATAATAATCCTATAGATACAGATACGTAATACGCATAGCCTCGTTTGGCATGAATTCTTTTTAGGTTTCTTCTATGAGAGAAAGATAGCTACGAGAGGCACAAAAGCTTAGCTCGGCTGGCGCTAATTTGGAAATCGGTCTAGGCTATATACGATGACTATAGTTTTACATGCTTATAGTAGATTGTCTTTTCCCATAGTTAAACAGTAGTTGCTAGCTGCTAGATTCCTGCGAAGGTACTAAAGTTTCCGACTCAAGAGCAATCTAACATAGTTTTCCCTTGACTAGGAGCAAACAGTTTTAGTTTTTAGCTTAGGTTTTACAGCTTTAGTGTTAAGTATCGTCTAAGCTTAACTTATTGCTATGCAATTTGTTAGTTATGGTACATTGAGACTCTATGCCAGCCATATATATAGACGAGCTATATATACGTGTGTTTGCAATGTTTTTTCTTTTTTTTTTTCGTTAAATAAAACGTAAAATAATTTACACGCACATTGATATTATAATGGAATTAAAAAGAACCGAATTTTTGTTAATTTTGATATTACGGCTTAAGTATTTAATATCTTGGGAATGTTGAATGTTCTCCTCGATTTTTCCCTCTTTGGCGAACTCACCTAAACGCGTTTTCGATTTGATTATAATGCCGGGGCTAGCACTACAATCGAATGACGTTTGAATATGGCCCAAAACTCCTAAGTCTCTCATTTCCTGGCTACATCGAGGAACGTATGGGACCTTTCCACGGTATTTACTATTAAAATCGATTAATTGGCTACAAAAACACTTAGATATTGGCTAAATGGAAAATTCACATGCTAAAAGCTCGTTGAAATACTTATTTTGAAATGTATTTTTTGGAAATCTGACAGAATTGATCAAAGTTCTATGCAGAGTGATAGGTTACCAAGTATTTGACATGTTGCTTTTATTGCTTTTTTGTTGGCTTGAGGTAAGGACGCGCCTTTGAACAGTATTCGAATATTGCATAACTAAAGCTCTTTTTCACAGTTTCTAGATCTTAAAATTAACTAAAAACTTAACAATTCAATAAATATAGATACAGTTATAATATAATGGTTGAAAATCAAACAGAAAACTTAACAAAGATTAACAAGATGTCTTTTTAGTAATCAATATCAAAATAGACTTAGAGGACACAACGCGAAGCATGGAAATTAGATCGGATCAGATCGGATCTATGGGCTAAAAACGTATTCAGGATTCATGTAGGAGAAGCCAACGAACTCCGACTGATCCAGATTCATCATAAACACCTTGTCCGTGGGCGTCAAGTCTGTTTTCTCTGATGTGAACTGCTTGTCAAAGTTGGACACATCCTTGCGGTGTTTCTGTAGCATATTCGGATTACATTAGGTTGGGAAGAAGTTAATTATGCATTCGGCTTACAATTTTCGGCTTGAATGGCGGCTGCACTTCGCGATTTTCTATTTTCTCCCAATCGATGCGTCTGAAAAACGGATGCAGACGCACATCCTCCTCGCCGGAGGAACCACAACCCAAACGCTTATTTGGCTGCTTGGTTAGGAACTAAGGAAAATATTTATAAGTAAACGAGGGATAACCGGTTGTGTATGAGCTTGAATACTTACGCCCTTGCAGGCCTCTTTGGCCTCCTTGCTCAGGCTCTTTGGATAGGACACATTATGATCAGTTATGGCGGCGAAGAGCTCCTCCTCATCCTCGCCATCGAAAGGTGGCTGGCCCACTAACATCTCATAAAGCAGTACTCCATAGGCCCACCAGTCCACCGACTTGCCATAGGGCTGATACAGTATTATCTTAACAGAAATTGAACAAATTATATATTATATAGTTTATAACATCGTTATTTGACGAAAACATACCTCTGGAGCAATATAATCAGGGGTACCGCAGAAAGTCTTTGTGGTCTTGTCACCCACTATGTTCTCCTTGCACATGCCAAAGTCCGCAATCTTCACGTGTCCATCCGCATCCAGGAGCACGTTATCCAGCTTCAGATCCCGATACAGTATACCCTTGGTATGAAGGAAGAAGAGTCCTGCTGCTATTTCAGCGGCATAAAATCTGCAAGCACCACGATAAGTAATTATAGGTAACAGGTGTCGGATTTTGTGGACACCTACACAGCCACGGGCTCCTTGAACTTGCCAAACTGTTGGATTTGGAACATCAAATCGCCGCCATTCACGTACTCCATTACAAAGAACAAACGGTCCTGACGAAAATATATACATTTTTGTTGAAATGTTGGATACTCTATCCCAAGATAAACTCACCATAGTCTGAAAGCAGGAGTGTAATTGGACCAGGAAGGGCGGCTTTTCGCCTAGCGCCAGGACACGCTTTTCGATCATAGTGCACTCGACGTCGTCGTCCTGAATGATCACATCCTTCTTGAGTATCTTAATGGCATACAGCTCCTCGCTTCCTTTGCGCTCAGCCAGCAAAACCTAAGGACTTGGTTATTAGCTAACATTCCAAGAATAAATCTTATGGCCAAGGGCAGCTACCCACCTTTCCAAATGAGCCCTTGCCGAGAACTTTGATGAAATTAAAGTCCGTGGCACGGATCATGTCCTTTTTGGAAGAAGTATGTGTGTTCGTATCGCTGCGCATAACCATCGGCTTCTTCTGGGATGGTTTCTGCTTGAGCTTCAGCAGGTCCTGCTCATCATCCGCACATGGCACATTGTAGTACTCGCCCTCGTCCTGGGTGAGCAGCTTGAACCAGCCATTGGTGGGGTTCTTGATGATCTCCGAGATGCCGAAGGACAGAGCGCCCATAAAGTCATTGCGCGAAGTGCGATCCCAGTCCCACACCTCGATCAGGATGCGGCGATCCTTGTCTTCGGGTTTCAGATCACTAAAAGAACACAACATGTTCTTGCTATAAATTCTCTATCGAAATATTCACTTTAAAACCACATCGTATTGGTGTCCATTTTCGTTTATGTAATGCATTGGGCTTAGGTACTTACTAAGTGAGTGTTTCATTCCAGACAGGATTTAGGCAAGCCTTAATGGTGCGAGTCTTCTTCTTGGACTGATCCTTGTCATCCGGAATTAGCTTCACCTTCACATAGGGATCGCTCAGTCCGTTTGGGTCCATGGGTATGAGATTGCGACCCTCCTTGACTGAAAAGCAGGACAATGGAATGAGCTGTGGCATAATCAGTCAATTAAGACCCATCCCGGTTGAGTCTGTTGAGTGAAAACTCCTCGCACAAAGCAGCTACGGAAATTACGTGAAACATGCTCCTGGGCACAGGACAAAGCATTGTGTCCTGGAGGACACCCGCAGAGCAGCTCGTTCCACTCTTTTGTTCTGCAACTGCAGTCTAGCTTAGTATTCATTATGTGGCATTTGCGGCTAACGAAGGAGAACGAATACGGAGAATTTCCTTAAGCGCGCATAATGAATTAATGCAAATCGTAAGCAATTTTCCCAGTAGCCCAGAGGACTTGCAACTTTCGGCCGTGAAGCAGACTTCTGCTTCCAGCGGGAAACGCAGAGCAATGGATGAATTCAAAAGACGCAAAGACTGTGGAGAAGATGTAACATTTTAAGCGCGTTGCTTGGGAAACTTTGCGGCTTCCCCGGGCATACATTTTTTTTCACTTGCCCCTGCATACTTATATTCCGTAAACTTTTCGCCTGCTTGCCGCAAAGACGGGCGCAGGCAGAAACCAAATAAAAAACTTAGACCGTGCGGCCATAATTGGTAACAATGCTTAAGCGGCTTAAATGTGTATTCCCCTGGCTTGAGGCCCACTTACTCTGGACAGTTAGCAGATTTTCCTTGACATTGATCTCCAGATAAATGCGACCCCGCCGCTCCGTGTGATCGCATCCGCAAAGGCTGGGCACGTTCTCCTTGCAGCGGGCATGCACGTTCATGTCACATGCTGGGGGCGTGGAGAAAATGGTTTTAAATCTTAACTGTTGGTCTCTGTGGAGTCAAAGGGCGCAGGAGTGGGAGTTTGCTCATAGAGTTTGGTTAGTGGGATTGATAGGCATGACTTGGATGTTGAAGTGGTACATAGCGCACACACACACACACACACACACGCACAGAGGTACAGTCGCAAAGTGCACGCTGCAAAGTGAGGTACAGTCGCGCACACAGAGCTAAAGTGTAGTACTTACCGCGTCTGTCGGTGGCAACCAAAGTTTACCTGTGGACGTTCTGTCGCGTAATCTGTCATGTAGAGGCACTCTGGCCGACCCAATCAGTAAAAAAAACCCAAACCAATTTTCCACCCATCGGTCCCATTAGAGCTTGTTTTTCCCCATTTCACTGCCAGCGGAAATTGACAAACTGTTGCTTCTCGCCGATGGAAGCTACACTTCTGACTCTGACAAGTGGCAAGCGTTGAATTGGAAATTATTCGCTTTAATCGAGTTGCTATTCATTTTCATGAAATACGTTTTGTTTTCAATTAAAGCACTTGCCACATCATCGGTCATCCCAGGGCATCATTCTGTTTTTGCCGATTGCTTCAGTTTCCTCTCACATATCCGCTTTTCTCGACTTTTCCCTTTGCTTCTTTTCACTTGGCAACATTCCGCTTTGGTGAAGTGTAAAATTACTTTTGCTTACCGCCCGCCACCCTTGAAAGGGTCTTAATTTCATTCGAGTCCCCGCTGCGTATGCGTGATATTTAAGATACGTTTTACTGGGCGGCCCTGTGGCATGTTGGTCAGCACGGAATGTGCAAAAATGTGTACACAAACGCAAAAAAAGGGTTCCCAAAATTCACAGTACAAAACAAACACACTGATATGAGTGTGTATTCATAATGTGGCCTCCATTTTGATGGTATACATTCGTATTCGTATTCCCTTGCCGTTTGCAGTTTTTGTAGTTTTGTGAATCAGTAAGTTGGATTTACTGATATTTTAGTGCTGCTCCCCTTTTTTGGCTTTCTTTAAAGTTATTTTACTTTTATTTTATGTATCTATTAGTCGTTGCATGAAATCTATTTTGTTTATGTACTTCATTTTGGTGTACTTATTATTTGTATTTTTTATTTTTTGCAATTTAGAATTTGAATACACTGCAAATTCAGTAAATTAGTGACTTTTAGGGCGCTGTTTGCAAGGAACACATCTTGTCTGTTTAAAACTTCCAAAGTGTGTATTTACAGTGTAGCAGCGACCCGCTGGACCGCATTCAGCTAAAATATTTAAATGGCTAATGTGTTAAGGCGTCTATTGTTGTAATTGGTAATGCACTCACAGTGTTTGGCAGCGGTGGAATAATATACTGCGGACAGCAAAGATATTATTAGAAAAAACATCGCAAGGTGATCCATCTTTGTCCTGTACCACAAATAAAATGAATCTGATTGCTTTGTGTTGCATGAATTGTAGCATGATAATTGCAATTGCCAGTAAGCGCAATGTTATGCAAGATGCAATTACACCATAAAATTGATTTGTGTTGTTTCAGATAAATGTATTTGCATACCATTCTATCCCCTTTCTGAGGCCCTAAACCAAAAGAGTTAAAGTGGCAATAAATTAGCCTAGCATACTCCAATCGATAATTGTTTTACAAGATTTTACAAGGCTGGAAGGTTATCATCGTCACTAAAGTTCATCATCTTTATGTACTCATTTACAGTTGAAAATGTGGAGAAAGATATTTAAGAACTTAGGCATAATTTTTCAAGTATTTGTTATTCCCTGCTTGTAACTGGATATCACCCAGGGAATTTGCAATTATTTTGGGCTTTTAGTCTACCTATTATTAATTTTCGCCATCTAGTGGATGTGCAACATTTTTCATTTCGGTTCGAACCATATTTTGAAAAGTATTTTTGACTTAACTAAACACCATTCTATATTTGGGTTTCCAATCGACCATGCTAACATATCCTGTTCAAGAATAACTCTTGGGACTTGCATATATTGAAAGGATATATTTTTATTTCACGAAAACACAGCGCATTTTAAATCAGGTGTTTAACTATCTCTTGCAGCACTTTTCTTTTGGGCCGCATTCAGTGGGAGGTGCTATGGCCCTGCAGGTGTTGCGAACTGAAGTACAGTACCCTAGTCCATTGGCACACTCTGGAATATTTACAAGACCATATTAGAAGATGCTGTTAAGGGATAATAGCGGAGTACTGACTCCTAAAGGGTTTCTGGGACCAGCCGGATCCGATGCTAAGGAAGAGGATGGCTGCCAGCACGAGGAGGTTAAAAATGCAATTCATTGTGCTAAGTTAATATAACTGAGTTGAATTTGAAATTCCAGACGCATTTTATAGCATGTGGTGTGAAAAATTAATTTTCTGATTCAACTATACATGCATCTAAATGTAAACATCTATGGCTCTTACTTCTGGCCAACTTTAAGGTAAAATCGTATGCAATATAAGGGATTGAAGTAAAAGCCAGAGCTGATATCTTGCATAATCTAACCACTAGCTTTATCAAGACTTGCAAACACACTTGCGGCACACTTTATTCATTAGATTGAGTAATATTTGGCGTATCGAAACACTTCATATTTCAATTTTAAACATTAACTAATTAGTTGATATTAAATATGCAGTATCGATTTAATTGGCTGGCATGTACGTTTGCCACGTATACGCCGGATCCACGTGTCCTATTATTCTGCTCAAGAATATTCAGTAGCGCTTTTATGTATTTATATACTCTTTAACGAGTACAGTTACAGTTTAAAATGTGGAGAATGGGATAATTTTTAAAGTATTTGTTTTAGTTGTCCTGTCCTTGTAAGCTGAGACTACTCAGGAAATTTGCAACATTTTTCATATTTGCATTGGGTATAAGGTGCTACGTTAAATTGCCTCGTCTGAATAGGAAATTTTGGATATGGAAGGCAAATAAATTAAAGCTTAATTCTAAAGCTATTTGTTTTTAAAGTTCACTGTATTGGGCTTTTAGTAACAATTCAGCCTATTATTACAATTTTCGCCATCTGTAAAATATGCAACATTTTTCATTTCGGTTCGAACAACATTTTGAAAAGTATCTTGTCCCTGGCCGCAACCTAAATGTTTTAGGCACATCATATAAACTATATCCTTCTTTTCATCTGCTAATGCGCAGGACTAAGGATCGGACTTTTTAAGTTAAGTACTAATTAGCAAAATATCTGTTTCCTATCATACGTGCTTCGCTTTGCGATTATGCTTCGAGAAACTGTAAGTTTTAAGTTCTGAAACTTAACTAAACACCATTTGTCGTTTGGGTTTCCAAACGACAATGCCAATATATCCTGCTCAAGAATAAGAATAGCAAGACTAATATTGAAAGGGGAAAGTACGAGCCTTTTATTTCAATTTTTATGCTCAATTTTTCTTGCAGCACTTTTGAGTTGGGCCGCATTCATTGGATTGTATGACCCTGCAGTTCTTGGTACTTGGTGCACAGTACCCGTTCCCATTGCCACAATCTGGAATATTTACAAGTCCATATTAGCAGATCCTGTTAGGAGATAAGGGATAATGCCGTAATACTGACTCGTAAAGTGGATCTTGTCAGCTCCGACGCTAAGGAAGAAGATGGCTGCTAGCACAAGGAGGTTCAAAATGCAATTCATTGTGCAAAGTTAGTGTAACTGATATGACTTTGAAATTCCAGGCGTATTTTATAGCAAGTGGTGTGAAAAATTAATTTTCTGATTTGGGATTAGCTTAACTCATTCGACAGGGCAAGTATAGAAATTCCATCAGATCCGTTCCAAACATTTATATTAATTATTGCTCTTTAAAGTTTAAAGGTTAAAGTGGGGACGCTTAGCCATAAACTTATTTAATTTCAATAAATTTGCCAATTTTTAAGGTAAGATTAGGAATTACTATTTAAATTAATTTGTTGATTAAAAAACGAATCAACTCAGAATTGTACCATTTTAAATGATTCCCAAAATGTTCTTACCATTTATTTGTAATGACACTAATAGAAGAAGCCTAAGAATTCAGTTATAAACCCCAATGGGAATCTCCTTGCCACTCCACTCACACATGTACATTTGCAAGTCATTTTAATCATTCGATTAAAAAGAAGGCAACACCTCGTTTCATTTTTATTTTTATAGAATTCTACGCTAAATGGAACAAGTGTATGCTACCATGGAATCTAAAAGTCGCAAACTTTTGTGGGGCCTTTAAAATTAGTAAACATATATTAAGTGGCTTTGCAAACTTGACATGCACTTGCAATAACGTGAAAATTAACAAGTTTTTAAGAATGTCAACGTAAAATGAAAAGAAAGCCAAGTGCAGGCAACTGGCAAGGCAAATAAAATGGGGGAAATGCGGGAAAAGCTGGTGGAAACTTGTCAGCGACACTCACTACAGCAACAACAAACAATTCGCCCAAGTGTGCAAAACACTCACCCACACAAACACACGCACGCACACACACACGCACACACACACGCCGTGGCGAAAACAAACACAAATACAAGTGCACACTTGAGCGGAAACAAAGCACTGCTAATTGTAAATTGCAACAATCTAAAAACTCTGCGGCAGCGCCACCAAAAATGCAAATGAGCTGAGACACTTTCGGCGCCAAGCAGGTTATACTACGAGTATATAGTATATATGTTATATGGGGTCCATTTGGGGAACTTTACCTCGACACTTGAGACCCTTGTGCGTGATGCCGTGCAAAAGGGACCCACAATGATCGCAGAACGTCGGCGACAGGAAGGTGACATTCTGCCATTTGTGGGGCATTTGATGCGCCTGCCCGATTTCGATTTCGGTTTGGAATTCGAATTGGAAGAGAAAACTAATGGAAAATTAACGCGGGGCATAGCAATAGGTGTTCGATATAGCTATATATCGAATATGTACATAGGTGTAGTTGCAAATCAACACAAAGGAATATAAAACAAGTTGGGGTATGGGCACACAAAATGAGCAAGAAGCTAAGACAACTATATACTTATTGTTTGGTATGCAGAATGATGTAATTACACATAAAACTGGAGATGTATCTAAATATTGTTTGTTTCATTATCAGATTAAAAAGTGGATAAAATGAGATCATGTACGTTATGTTAATTTAAGAAAATAATAATACCCGCAGTTTCAATTCGCGTGAATACAGCCTGAAATGCATTTGTTAATGTTAATATGGTTTTATTGTAAAAAATATATAGAATAGGAATCTGCACTTGTTTTGGAATTTATTGTCACATTATTGAGCTTTTGTATAGATTAGATTAGTCTTTTGTATACTGTAGTTCATTATAAAGCAAATTAGATCTGGCGAAAATCACACAGAAATTCGAGTTATTCTTTTTGGTTGACGCACATGACGCACATACTAAAAGTATAAATAACATTTACGTAGGTGGAAATGCATTTAGGAGCACCTTTAGTAGAGACGAATGAAAATGGCTTTTAATAAAAGATTATATTGAATAAATTTGAAAATCTCGGCAATGGAGCTTTGAGACCTATAATTAAAGACTTGCATATGCATTCTCAACAGAGTGCCTACCCCCCAAAACTCCACCCACTTCTCGTTTTTATACTGCTTTCTTTTTTTTGCACTGCAGCAGTTTTGCTTTCGTGCTAATGAAATAAACGCGACGTTAATTGAGTTGCAAGTTGGCCGTCACATGTCGCAAACAGCGAAATCAAATGAAAATGGAAGAGGGCTATGGAGGCAGTGTGATGAGTGGGTATATATGTTACATAAACACAGATATGTACATTGCACAGTAGAACATAAGTAACCGGCGAAGGTTGCAGAGACAAATGCTGCCTAATCCTTTTCAAGGACCTCGTGCACACACACAAAAAAGGATTCTCTCACACGTGACATTGGCGGAAAACTTTAAGGCTATTTCCTCTTGTGGGTGGCGAGTCTTGCACCCACACAACCGAGTCGATTGTTGTGTCAGTTTGTGGTGGGTGCTGCCCCCCGGCAAGGACATTTGATAGCATTATGTGCCTCCATGAGCATCCACCGAGTGGTTCCCCCATATACTCGGCGTTCCACGCCCCATCTTTTTTTCGGGGGCGCCTTGGCAATTTGTTGTTTGTCTCTGCCAAGGTTCAACAGCTGCTCAGCCATTAATATCCTTTCGCTACCAAAAGACAAACACCAGCGAACAGCAAACATACACTCACACACACACACACACACACACAAACGTCCTTGGCAGCGGCGCAGCGAAAAAGTTGTTGCATACTTTGGCGGGCATGCTCAAGGCCGCGATGGTGGGCGTTGTGGGCGGTGGTGTGGCGGGCATTTGTTTGGACAAAATGCAATCGCATTGAAGGTAAACACGTGTGTGTACTCGGCCTCCAATTGGACTCGCCTTTGAGGGGCCCTGGATAGCCACAGGTGCTGACATCCGAATCGAGACCCGGACACTGCGGAATTTGGGGTAACTAAAGTGGAACCCCAGTGGCATTCAAGACTATGTATATATACAATACGTGCCCAGTGGGCGGAAGCTCCTAGTTAATTTTGGAAAGTCAGAACAAACAAGGATTTTGTTATTTTTCTACTGCTTGAAAATATGTGAGGGAAACTTGTTTTCTGCTAATTTTTCTCAGAAAAGAACTTACCAATTCAGTGCAGCAAGGAAACGCTTAGTATTTCACTATATTTAAGGCGGCAAAATTGCAAATAGTGTTATGTTTCAAGGTAATAAATATAGTTAATATTTTCCATCTACATTAAAAATTGGAGCGTTGTTTTTGTTTTTTTCTAGCGATCCTTTGTTTCAATGAGAAATGTTTATAAGCAATTTTCAGTGTACAAAAGTGTCTTAAAAGAAAATCTCTTCAACTTTGTAAGCCAATTGAAATGAAATATGTATGCTGTGAACCAATTTATTTCAGCGGCATTAAAGTTCAAGCCAATGAAGCTCGACTGTATGAAATGGTGGGCTTTATTCTTATCATTACGTCACAGTATCTGCCACATGAAAGCATCGTAAACAAACGCCCCGTCAGACATTTCCCAATAAATCTGATGGCCCACGCACACACACGCAGCTAGAATTTCATTTGGCTAACACGCCCCCATTTGCCGCCTGCTTATGTACTGCCACGTGCCAGAGCAAAAATTTGTAAAAAATATTTGCAGCGCAAATTTATCACAGCATTCCTCGCTGTCACCTAACAAATTTGTACCCACGCCATCGGGAAATCCTGGAGCCCCACTTTTCCATATCGCTATCATCGTCCTCATCATCGTCCTCTAGCGGAATGGCAGCTTCCATCACTCCATTTAACGTAATTTTTGGTACATAAAAGGCCATCGTACATGGCTGTGTATATACTATAACTGCCAGCATATTAACAACTGATGCCCGCCGATAACGAATGGGGAACTGGTTGGGGGTGTTGGCAAATATAAATTGCCATGTCATTTATTCCGACAGGCCAGATAAGGCAAGTTGAGCGATCGTATGGGCTACTAGCAGTAGTAAGTGTGGTCATATCGGCGTGGAGCCAGACGGCCATCTGATAGCTTTTAATGGGCCTAACTGCATTTGTTTTCAATTTCCGCTCCAAGTACGAATCACAATCATGTTTGGCGAACTGCCAATCTGAGGCGCACAGCTCGGCTTGTCGCAAAATTGATTTGCCTACACCTGTCGCAATAAATTTAATCCGATTTGAGGCAGCAAGGAGGCAATAAGGAGTCGAAAAGCACAATCGGAAATGGCAACGTCTAGGTTCATTGGACCGGATTGTATTCCACGTACACATGACAGGAGGAAAAGCCACATTTTGAGTTGTGCGTGAAGTGAAAATGCTCAGCTATTTTCCATGCGAAAATTCAATTGGAGTTTCCCATGGCAGCAGCATCACACCTGCCATGAATCTGCCATTCGAGTTGCCAATTCT